TTATGCAGACTGGATATATCCTGTACTACCCATTACTCAGAGGAACAATCACACTTCTTTGTGCAAAATTCTGGGGAACAGCCCCTCAATATATCACCAATAATTTAAGAATCAGTTATGAGGCACAGCTTTTTCACTTTGACTGAAGTGAGGAATTAACTTTGCCATCTAAACGCATTAAGGAAAATTAAATATGAGTTAAGTTGTACTTGTCCCCTTGAGCATTTCATCTTCCCCCCATAAAAGGTCGGGCACATAATCACTTGTGATATTGTCTCTTCTGCTGCTTGTTTTCAGTTTATGATTAATACAAAAAAAAGAAATAATGATTAGAGTTCACTCAAACAGAACAATGAGAATGTGAAACATGTTTTACATTTTTGTACATCATAGTATCAATGTCACAGAAGCAAGATTTTCATGTTTCCATCTTTCAACATTATCATACACAACACGTCTGATGATAAACTGTAAACACACCCCATGTAATGTGAATAAAAGAATAGTACACTACACATGAACCAATCAGCTTCTTTCCTATAGCAGAGTAGCATGACTTTATGGTGAATATGAAGTAAGGCAACTATAGAAGGATAATTATTGTCATTTTGCCAGATAAGCAAATAAAATGTTTATGGGGTGAATGATACTGGATGTATCCTATTTTCTCTCCACTGAGAATATTTTAAGAAATCAGTCAAAGTTGATTACTTACTGCAAAGACAGAACTCTTTAGACTTAAAAACAACAAAGAAAACTCACACAGGTATTTTTTTGCAATACACTTTTATGCATTTAGCAAGCAATTGTACATATTTCCCTGCACATTATTCAATAAATAAGAACAGCAAACCTTTCCCTCATCAAATCCTGAAATTATTATTTTTCAAAAACAAAAGAATAGATAAATACCTGGCCTACGCCCTTCAAGGCTGGTGTTATGTTGATAAAGTCATTGTAATACCACTGGTTGGTGACTTCCATGCTACCAGGGTTATAGGTGGTAATCCCTGCATTGCCAACGCTAAAAATGCGTTTGTACCTGAAAGTGAAAGTCATGAGTAATTAACTATATCTACCTTCATTATAATACATTACCATTACACACTGAAATATCAAATGTCTTATCAAAAAGATCATGATTTCTAATATCATCTAATATTCTAGTACTAAAAAATTACTCCTCTTCTTCAGTATTATATCAAAATTAGATATATATCTCTTTTAATGGTATACTTACTTGCCCTTCCAAGCGGAGTGCTTTGTAACCAAGTAACATGCCACATCTTGGTTGTTTGTCCCCATGTCTCACTGTTAAAAATAATGTTTTCAAATTTTAGAGTCAATTTAATATATCATATCAAGAAATACAGAATTAAAAAGATTTATATTTAACCTTCAAAATATTTTCTAAGTGAATGAGTATAAACATATAAATTCTAAATATATAACAATTTTTCCCTTATGTTACTAAGACTGTTTTTTCATGTAATGAAAGTGGTCTCATCTGTACAATATTCCATAAAAAATAAAAACAAAACACAATGTACTCATTAAAGTACTATACTGTTTTTTTCTTCTTTACAACAAATGTATAACCAGTTTTAAAAACTGATTTGAAATACATGCAATGTCTTTCAAAAAATAAATAAATAAATAAAATGAAACCATGAAACAAAACTTCCACATTCTTGACAACTCAAACTTATCATATAACCTCAATCCTAGTGTTATATTTCAAACACAATAGAGAGCAAGGGGAATAAGAAATATATAACCATTAAGATATTTGTTCCATCTCACATTTGTCACAACTTTCCAATAACATGGCCACACCATACAACAAGAGCCAAACTTTTTCACACTACTACCTATATACAGCTGAAAATCATTCCCTGACTTACTACCAACCATTAAATGCTGCACGCTTCTCTATCTTCCATAAATGGCAATGATAGTGTAGAGTGCACACTTACAAAATAAAGTCATATAATTCTATCAACTGAAGGAATAGGAAAACACATTTACTTGGTACATAATAAGGTATACCAAATATAATAATCTCAAATAACTTTGTTTGATTTCATAGCTTTTTCATGACAATGAAATGACAATGGAAATATAAAATGTAAATGACACTCTAAAACATCATATGAAAATGAAAAATAAATGAATAAACCAATACAAACATAACTTTCATATTAACAAAATTAGACACTTCAGCTATGACTAATGTCATATCCTGCTAAGACTACAATATAAAAGGTATTAATTGACTGATATAAACAAATAAAACTTCAGTATTGAATAAGCATAGGGACTGTCATGCCTACATGCCAATCACACTGTGTCGTGTGACTGCTCTTCCCGTGTCACTCGATGAGGAACCTTGTCATGACCAAGCTTTTGCACGTCATAATATTGCAACACTTCCTCTCCACAAAGAACAAACAAGCGTACGCACAGTTGCAGGTGAAAATATGTTAATGTGGTTATATAA